GTCAATGTTTGTATAAGTTAGATGAAAATGTTTGTGAATGTTCAATGTAAATGTTTGTATATGTTTGAAAAACCCCTAGAAAATCTCTATATTTTCTACTAGTATTAAAAGTAGTCTTCTACCAAGACCCGACTGTTTTGTATGTTTGCTTCTCTGTAAAAGTGGAAGCTTTTCCCAAATATGACTATCGTTACCAGAATTTAGTTTTATATTGCCCTTTATGTGAGAAGATCACAATTTGAATATAATGGGAAAAATGTATGTGTACTGCAGTATTATTTGTATTAACTACTGAAGTAATAACTACCTTAAAACCAATGGTTTAATTAAGGCAAAATGTGATAAGATTGTTACCATACTAAACCGACTATAACACGACGATGAAAGACGTCGGAAGAAATGACATTTGGCACCCGTAGACTTGCAAGTCCCACTGTAGCGAACAGCAAGGTGTAGGATAGTCAATCCAGTATAGATCTATACACAAACTCACGCTCTCCCTCCAGGAGATTTTGGTTATAAAACGTGACATAACGAAATGGTCGATGTGTCATGAAGTAGTATCTCACATTATGTTATCTTTGAATCTTGTTATAGTATACTTATTATAGTAATAGTATTCTATGTATAGTATCCTTTGTATAGTGTTCTCTGTCTAGTATTCTCTGTTATAGTATTCTCTATTATAGTGTTCTCTGTTATAGTATTCTCTGTTATAGTATTTGTATATGATAGTATTCTCCTAAACTATGCCTATTATAGTTTACTAGCAATTTCTGTAGTTTGAATGAAGGAAGGTATGCCTTTGCTACCCAAAGGTACTGAACTGATTGATAGTCTTTTATATCTACATATGTATACATAATATATAATTGATATTTAAACAACCTTCGGACAAATAACCGATACTTTCAAGCCACATCCAAGCAAGGAAAAGGAAATTAAGCGAGTTATCAGTCCTAAGTCCTTTAAACATTACTTATATAACTATACATATATAGACATGCATTTGACAATATATAAGTTTAAAAATAAGTTCTGTAAACATTTGAAGAATTTAATAATAAATATTGATGACTTGATGTCAATTTATAAAACGATTTAAAAGCAGTTTGATTGATAATACAGTTTGAAAGTATAAGAAATCCTTTGTTTGAAACACAGTTTGAAGTATATGAAACCCTTTGTTTGAAACATAGTTATAAATCACATGTGATTGATTATATAACTAACATGTTTTCTACTTGTATTCCCCCCCCCCCATAAAAGCATTTAAAATCATTTAAAAGATAGATTAAGGGGTATGAACTCACCTGTAGTGAGTGATACGGAAGTATGCTTGGAAATAGGATGTAGAGTGTCAGGTGAAACCTTGAGCACACAAGATCCTACTAAACATATAATGACATGTATGTGTATTTGATTAGTGTATGACCAACTAATTATAAGGGATAACACCCTAATAGACTAGGAAACTCTTAGATTGAAGGGATACAATCACATATGATTGCATAACTAGGGTGTATGGCCCCCTAAAGAGTTTACGGTCCAAATGACATGACCAAGTGAGCTTACGGTCAAAATGGTATAACCATAATAGTTTACGGTTCAATGGGTTTACGGTCTAATGACCTTACGGTCCAATGGGTTCACGGTCCCATGTGTTTATGGTCCTATGACCTTACGGTCATAAGGTTTACGGTCTAGTGAGTTTACCACCGTAAACTCATATCCTTTTGTGCATAGGATGATTTATAAGCATTTCGAAGGGTTCTAACTTCCATTCTACGCTTTAGGAGGGTTTAATGGTCACAATGCGCCATTTATAAGGGTTTACGGTCTAAGGAGATGCACTAGACCGTAAACACCTTTTGTTCTTGGATAAATGATGATTTCAAGGCCTTAATCAAGAATCCTAACCAGTTAACAAGTATAGAAGATAGATACTTACAATTTGGAAGCAAAGAAGGGTGTTTTCGGCCCAAAACACTTAAGTGTTCTTGATGTTCTTAAGGATCTTGAAGATCTAGACTCAAAAAGATGAGATTTCATGGATGAAATCATGAAATATCACTAGATAAAGAGATGTAACAACAAATCAAAGGAAAGAATTCTTACATTTTTGGAAGATCAAGATGAAGATCTTATGATACTTGAGAGAGAATTTGGGATTCTAGGCTTGGAAAGGAAAGAAATGATCAAAATGATCATGAATTATATATATATGGGGAGTTTACGGTGACCATGACCGTAAGCTCTAAGCTTCCTGACCGTAAACTCCTTTTGATGAGGTTTACGGTTTGCTAGATGGTTTGGAACCTTAACTGATAAATCCAAACACTGATTCCTTTGATGTACTAGTCTTAGAATGATCAAACAGACTCTAAACAGTGCTAAAAGTTAGCAGAAACAAGTCTGACTTTGATTGAAGTGAATGGTTGTACAAGATAAAAATTTCGGGTTGTCACAGTTGGGCACCCAGATATGCCTGACAGTATGTTTATGCTATGTTATTATGTGGTAGTCGTAGGGGCGAAATAGACCCTGTAATCGGTTGAAATACACTGGAGGGGTAGGTCGAGCACCCAGATATGCCTAACATGGTAGGTCAAGCACCCAGATATGCTTGACAGGGTAGGTCGGGCACCCAGATCTGCCTGACAGGGTAGGCCGGGGCACCTAGATATGCCTGGCAGTATGTTTTTATGTGGTATGATGGGGGAACTCACTAAGCTTCGTGCTTACGGTTTTCAGTTTTGGTTTCAGGTACTTCTTCTTCGAAAGGAAAGGAGCCGGCATGATCGCAACGCATCACACTATGATTTTTCCGCATATGAGATCTTCAAGAGTTGTACTCTGATATTACTCTTTTATGACATGTTTTGATTATTGAGATATTGGTTTTCATTATGATATGGGATGACACTATTGATGTTTTCAGACTACTGGTTTTTATAATTACGTAATTAAAAAATGAAATTTTTGATCATGAATTTTGGGATGTTACATCCACAAGGCTTGAAGCTTTACAAGTGCCCTCCAATGAATTCATTCCTTCAAATATGAACACAAAACACCCAAATAGCTCAAAAACTCTCAAATGGATATTAGGGTTTTGAGGTGGGGGCTTAAAGGGAGTGGAGGCTGACAAGGGAAGGCCTCAAGGGGGTCAGATCCTTTAAATAGGTCTCAAAAACTCTAAATTAGGGTTTGAGGTCTACTCACGTACGCCCTACGTACACTTAATTACGCCCGACGTAAGTAGCTAAAATTCTGCCCCTAAAAAATCCCTTTATGTGCTGCGTAGAGCCATGTTACGCCCTGTGTAACGGCTAAAATGCCACCAATTCAACATTTTAAAATTTGATTAATGAAGGAAAATTACCCGAGATGACCGGGTGTTACAATATGACATATGGATTATTAAATGGTTTTGAAAACGAAAATTTTTATCATGATTTTTAGGATGTTACAACTGTTAGAGAAGACCATGGAGGCAGCCAATGACAATGGTATGAAAGACCATGGGGGTAGCCCATGGCACTTGTATGCAATATCATAGGGGTGGCCCATGTCAATGTATGTATGGTATGTTGTGTTTTGTGGAACTCACTAAGCTTTGTGCTTACAGTTTATGGTTTAACTTTTTCAGGTACTTCCACTTCGAAAGAGAAGGGCCCGCCGTAATCGCATAACATCCCCTTATGATTTCTGAATCAATGATCATTTGATTCTGATGTTTTTGATACATTTGTATTATGATGGTTTTGAGACACATGATGTATGGCTTTGATGATTTTAAAAATGAAAAAAGTTTATCACTATTTTTGGAATGTTACATGCAACTAGTCTGTTTTTTTTTTCAGTTTTATCAAGTGTTGTCTATAATGAAAACCTAGTGTGTCTGATACCACTAATGTGTTTACTAGGCATATATACATGGAAATTAGGCAACATAAACATTCAATATAAGCCCTAAGTGTACATGCACCCTAGATCTAGGTTTTACTATTATGACAACATACTTTCAAAACTAGAAATATAAACTAAGGAGAGGAATTGATTTAAAAACCTTTTGAAAAAGTCAAATTTGTCACTTAACAACTTGAAGAAATCGAGTTCCTTTGTTGCTCTTACAAAGTCTAGCACCCAAACTAGAATGCCTCTAATGACTCACACTCAAAAGACTAAAACCCTAGAAAATTTCTAACCCAAACTAGAATGCCTTTCCCCTGAACCCCAGTATTCCCAAGTCTATATTTATCACTCCGAGTGTGCATCCCATACCTTCAGTCTCGGTAAGTAAATTGAATTCAGTCTGTCTCGATAATACTAACTATAGTAAAATATGTTGATAACACTAAAATTATTAACAAGTGTCGGCATAATAAAATTTAAAGCTACATAAAAGTTATAATTTCAACTATTCTAACTTTTTAATTTACAAAATAAGATTTTACCTTTCAAAAAATAAGAGTATACAAATTTTATTATTACAGAAAATTATATTTTGTATATTACAATATAAAATTTAATAAAATAGATAAACTAAAATACTTTAATATCTCGATCCAAACATAACTCATTCATTTAACTTGTAATATAAAATTCGAACTTAACTACTTAAGTCTTCAGCTATTTATTATGTTATCTGACCAGTCGAATCGCTCTATATGATATAGATGTAGTAAACATAACCATTAAATTAAACAAATATATAAAAAATATATAAACTTTTTCATAAATATAATAACTTAAAATATATATAAACTTTATTTGCCGTAGCTACAAAATAAATTTAATGGTTCGTTGGTAAAGCTTATTTATGGTCCATAGGCTGGACCAAGTAGCCCTTATTTTATTGATTTCACATGAACTCCCATTAAACCTCCCCTTCTCCCCCACTTTTAAGATCCCACCAAACCTTCTCTCTCACCTCCATTGGAGGAAAAACATCACCCAGTTCTTAGAAAGTGACCAACTTCATCTCCATATCAACTATGCTTTCCAATCCACAAAACTCATCGTCTTTCTTCAACACCACCGCTCCCGGCGCCGGAGTTGGCTGCAACAAACAGATGTCAAACAACCGTGTTCCTGACTCCATTGCCCGATACCACATCCATCCAGCAGCTCAAAACCAGTGCTGCTCCGCCGTCATCCAACAGATCAACGCTCCAGTCTCCACCGTCTGGTCAGTCGTCCGCCGCTTCGACAACCCACAAGCGTATAAACACTTTGTAAAGAGCTGCCATGTTGTGGACGGAAACGGAGACGTCGGAACTTTACGGCAAGTTGATGTTATCTCCGGTCTCCCCGCCGCTAACTCCACCGAACGCCTTGAGATCCTTGACGACGAGCGTCATGTTCTTAGCTTCAGCGTTGTTGGTGGTGATCATCGACTGGCGAACTACCGCTCCGTCACCACCCTCCACCCTACACCTACCGGAAATGGTACCGTGGTTGTTGAGTCTTACGTCGTGGATATACCTCCAGGGAACACAAAGGAAGAAACTTTTGGTTTTGTTGACACCATCGTAAAATGTAACCTTCAGTCGTTAGCTAAGATCGCAGAGAACAAATTCAGGTCAAAGTGATCGGAAAATCAAGATTGACAACCCACCCATGTGAGAGTATCAAGTACAGAAGAAAGCATCTCATCAAAACCCATAATGAAGAACAAAATCGATGGTGTAAATTTTCATCTTCAAAATTTTATGTGAATCTGTATGGTTTGATGTAATTTTTTTATTTTTGAAGATGATGGAAAGACATTAAAGATGATCTGTTTGTTTGATTGTTTTAGGAATGACGACACCATCGATTTCTTGTTCTAGCTAGTTGCTGCATTATTTTTCTTTTTTCTTTTTTCCTGTATTAAATAAAAGAGATTATCATGAATTTTATCTTTCTGTTTCTATTTTTCTAAAAATAGTTAATTTATGAATAAAATAAATAAAATAAGGTCAAAATTTTAAAGTTTCCACGTGAAACGGCCGACTTTGAATCTTTGATAGCTGTTTGCTGAATTCGAAGTATGATACAACCGTATGGTATGGTCATTGCGATTAGTAGCCATTTAAATAAAATATATATATACAAATTGCGTTAGAAATTTTATTTTATGTATACATATATATAGGTTCATTTGCTTCTTAATCTACGAAAGAATGTAGTTAACGAAATGTGTGATTACTTTTTACATTTATAAGATCAAAATAAATAAAATTTTATAAGTGGCTTAAATATTTTTAAATAATTAATGTCAGTTAACTAAATGAGTAAAACATGGTTATATTCTCAAATAAATTGCTGAAAATATAGATGTGGTTAAATTTCAAAATAACACACAATATTTTATAATTACATAAAAAACCACGATATTAAGTTGTGTTTTTTATCATCATAACATAATTTCGTACACATGTAAAAACCCATATAATATATTAAAAAAAACAATCTATTGTAGAAATCTTATTGAAAAAATTCTTAGAAACATAATTAACGTTTTGAAAAAAAAAATATTTGGCTTTAATATGAAAAAATTAGTATATACAATTTTTTATTTAAATTGGTATATAACATATTATGGATACTTATACATATAATATAGAATATAAATAATATTTAATTCGTACAATGCTATAAATAAACAATTCGTTTTATATACTCTATATTTAGATAATAAAATAATATTATTATATTTTGTCAAAAAATCAATTTATTTATAAACGTTAAAAATTATAAAAAGGAAAAAGTGATCATTATATATAAAAAGAACTTGATCCTTATCAAGTATCGTGTACTTTCTTCAATCTTAGTACAAGTCTAATTTTAGGGATTATAATCATATAATACATATACAAATTTTATATTACTAAGAAGCTTACGGGATGAATGGGTGTGTTTATTTATCTAGTTTTAAAACAGAGTTTAAAAAGAATGTATGAATTAGTTTATCGGGTATCACAATAAAATAAATTTATAAATTATTTACCTATTTTATATGTAATGATAATAGAACTTATCAAAAATTCTTTAAATAAGTTAATATTTAAGTAAGAAGTGACTTATAAAAAAACATTTTTTACAAATAAATAAATAGTTATGAAATATTTTTACACTAAAAATTCTTTATTATTGATATAAAACCAAAGTAAATTAATAAGTATTTTAAATAAGCAATTCCAAACACCTCTTATAGCTAAACTTTTCTAAGAATCGTTATCTTGAAAGTTTTATGTATTTTTATTATTATCATTATTATTATTATTTTTACACTCATATCAAATTATAAGGAAATCAGTTATAGTAAAATAAAAAAATGTTATCAAAGTTTTTTTTTTTTTTTTTTTTTTTTTTCAGTTTGGATAGGCAAAATTAAAGATAGTTGTTTTTTTGTAAAATAAATGAAACTCAGAAACAAAGACAAAATTCATATCATATTGTTGGGTCCGTTACCTCATTCGTACCAATATCAAACTGAAATAAGCAACATGTGTTTTTTTAATTATGAATACATCATAATCAAGTTACAATTTAAAATCTCATTCTATAAAAATTTTGTAACCTTTCGAAAACACAAGAGGATACCAAAAGTGTTTTCCGCGTTCACATTTCTTCTCAAATGCAAACTGGAAAACAAAATATTACTATCTAATCTTATTACATATTCATTACTTACTTAACTTATTAAATAACATATTTTTATTGTAAAAACAAGTTTTTAATGATGATAAAAGTGAAATCTATGAAGGATGGGAGAAATAACTAGAAAGGGCAAATTGTATTTTAAAGAAAAAATAATAAATATAAATAATACAAAGTGATGGGGAATCAACAACCACTCTTTGCAACTTGATGACACCAAAACACCAACTTGCCTCTCTTTAACATTACAATGCTTCTTTTCTTTAATCCCAACTTGCAAATTTCCCACCCCCAACTTGTATGTGTGGGGACACCCACAAGAACCATTCTAATTGTGTGTCTTGCATGTTTTTCTAACTTTTAGTGGTCAAAACTTTGTTAATTATGCTAAGAGATAGACATAAAAATGTCTTTCACTCGAATATCGTTTTGTGCAGGTCTTTCTAGAAAGAAAGATTACTATGAAAAAAGATAATTGTTAGTCTATTTAACATTATATTATAGTTTAACTAATTTGAGCAAAATTTTCGGTCTTTTTTCTTTGGTCATTCTTAGATGTTTGACAAAATGAAGTCGATAACCAAGTCATGTAAGTATTCTTGCACGATTCATGATATCTTTGCTAGCAAAAAGTGCAAAAATTGTTTTGGTAAGAATATTACAATCTAAAAATATTAGTACTTAATATTTGTTATAGAAGTGATTTGTACATAACATTTTTTTTTCATATATAATAATTTATGTATTATAAAATTGTATAATACAATATTTTAAAACACATACTTTGGTTAATGAGAAAAAATTGTGATGTACTATTCAAACTTCCTTGTTACAGCGGTAAAGATGTTAGAAACGAAATGTGGTTTGTTATATTCAAGTTTATATATCACCATTGATTGTTTTGGTGATTTTTTTATCTAATCTACATTTACTTATTTGCTCAATGAATACCTATTATATATAGTTATAGGCAGTGGGACTTGAATATTGACGCAAATTATTTCAATATTTTTTTTATTAAGTTCGTCTAGGTACTTTGAATAGTACTCAAAGATATTTATTAAATTTAATGTCAAGTTAAGTATTGTATCTTTCTAGATTAAAAAGTAGGACATATGATATCAGAATCTTCGAATCAATAAACAAATATTCCTCAAACTTTTTAATCTTTGTACTGTGCTAAATTGGCTTAATGTCTTTTTGAGGATTAACAACTTTAAAAACATTCGCAAGAGGATAATAAAGAAAATGGACATAGAGCCAAAGCTTCCTATGGTTGAAACGATGTCATCTTTCTAACATTAATTAACAGGTGATCACAAAATGACCACAGTGATCTTTTTTTTTTTTTTTTTTTTTTTTTTTCAAATTCTCAAATGACCATAAGTTCGAAACTCTTGGCAGTTTCGAATTATTGAGTATCTTGCATACTTCTTTTTCATACAAAAAGGTTGTTTGAAACTCTCAAATTAAAGTTTCGCACTTAGTCTTTGAATTTTCAAACTTCTTTAGTTTAACAAAATTTTATGTCGGCTTTAAAAAACGTACCACCTACTTGGAATTTTTCCTATTTTCGAACTTGTGATGTTAGTAAGTTGAAGTATTTGTAAGCATGTTGTCTGAATTCTACTATCTACATTGATCTTGAAATATGTTTTCTCCAGATCTTTTAACACATTTTTTGAAAATGAAAAAACAAAAACAAAAACAAAAAATAAAATGAATTCAAAACTAGAAAAAATGGCATCATGCGTACATAACATCATAATATGAATGAAAATGTTTTATATTTATTGGGGGATATCAACTATTATAGTTTGGTTTATTTGGTGATTGGTCCAAAATTAGATCTTCGTTGTCAAGAAAATTGAGCTCTTTTGGCAACGGGAGGCTGCCATTGGGGGTGGAACTTCTTGGGGGAGCTGTTAGCCGAGATACTAGTTTCATTAGCCGTTTAGCCATAAAGATAGCCGAAAACTTTGTGAATTTGATGCACATTCTTCCACAACTGTCTAACCCTCAGAGTGAGCTCCTTTTGTTTCGGTCTTGTAGGGGTATTGTGAAACTTTTCTTTGGGCCGAGGACGTGCCAACCCATTCACATGGAGGAGACGATGTTATTCTTCGACAAATGACCGCGCAGGGCGATTGAGTACATAGTGGTTTGTGGTGTCCATAGTGGTTTGCGATTGAGTACATAGTGGTTTGTGGTGTCCCTTCCTTTGGCGACATACAGTGGTGAATTGCTGCCCTACCCATTAGGTTTGGTGGTTTGCCTTTGTACTTGGCAACAAACGTTACCTCATATGCTTTTGTTGCCTCAAGGGCCTAATCTTGGGTGTTACAAGGCCATATCTTATGGGATAGCGACATATGTGGTACGGATTCTGATTCTGCTAGTGTCTTGGCATCTCTTTGTAACAAGCTTTCGGGCATTGACTTTAGTAGTTTCACTAATAAGGACACCACCCCCTAAATCCCAGCATACATTGGCGAGTGCCATTTTTAGTAAAATTGTCCAAGATGTGGAAGTGCATTTCGATATGACGCTTCGACAGAAAGCAGTTTTACAGTGTTTACGAGCACTACATGCTCAATATTTTCTTCTAAATATATTTGTAGATGGGCTTGACCAACATATGTCTCCTGTGGAGTATCGTACTATCCTAAAATATTGGCTCATGATCCCAATATTTCCAGTTGACGAGATATGTCTGGTGTACCACAAGACATGTTTAGACTCTTTCGGAGAGCATGCAGTTCATTGTAAAGAACTATTGGGGTTCAAATACCGACATGATATGATTGGAGATGTTTTGTTTAACATATTTAAGTGTTTTAGGGTTTCCGCCAAGAAATAGGCACCAGTGAATTTCATGACTGACCCGACAAAAGGAAGGTCAACCCTTTAGACCGAATGATGTATTGGTTTTTGGATGAGTTCGAGG